TTTTTTTTTTTTTCTTTTAAAAAAAGTGAAGCAGTTTCCGAAACAAATGATGTATGCTTAGTTGCTAAATCTGTGTCATGCTCATATGCTTAGCCAGTCTTCTTTTAATGTTTTCAAGTTTCCACTGAATATTTTTTGTATGCCTGAATAATATCTCTCCCTTTACTGTTTTTTTTCCTATGGAAAATATTGTTCATCCTGGCTCCAGTCTTACTGAAGTTAATGTACCTGTGAATCTTCCATAGACCTTAAAACCCATGCTTTGATACATTTTTTTAATTTTCCTGGTCCTGAGAAGGCTCAGACCTTTATTCATAAATCCATAAAAGCAAAGAAGGTGAGAAAATAGCACTTAGAATCTCCTAGTTAGAGCTGGAACAAACAGCAAATTGACTCTACAGTGCAGTTGGATAATATTTTAATGTACAATCTTGATTATGTTCCTTAAAAATATTGTATCTTTAAATTTACTAATGTTTTCAATTTTTCTGTAAACTAGAAAAAGGACAATTTCAGTTAATTAATTTGAAATCAGCACTTGTAAAAATCTTGACAAAATGCTGCAGTTAGTTTTCTTGCCAAGGCAGAAGACAAAATTTGATCTTTTGTTTACAGGGCCTGGGCAACAGTTCCAATTTATCCTTTGCTTACTTAATCAGAGAATACAAAGTGTGTAATTGACAAACTCTGCTAGAAAGGGCTTCCCATGGTTATGTTTGTTTCTGGCTCTGACAAAATTTGCAGAAAGATATTTGTTAAAAATGAAAAATGTTCAGGCACATTGCAGATGCCACAAGACTTCTGGGATAACCTCTTGTGAACTGTTCTACCAGGCGTTCCTTCTGAAATGCTGCAGAGAGGGTGAACCTGCTGTTCAGTTTAAAGAGCCTGCAACAGGGTGCTTGGGTGGCTCAGTCAGTTAAGCCTTTGACTTCAGCTCAGGTCATGATCTCTCAGTCTGTGAGTTCAAGCCCGGAGTCTGACTCTGTGCTAAGAGCTCAGAGCTTGGAACCTGCTTTGGATTCTGTGTCTCCCTCTCTTTCTGCAACCCTCCCCCCCCCCACCTCTCTCTCTCTCTCAAAAATAAACTTAAAAAATTTTTTTTAAAAAGACTTAAAGAGGCTGCAGCAGCAAGCCAGGGAATGGTGGAATGGTGTTGCCTTCTCTCTGCAGACCAGAAAGATATGATCTGCTTCACAAATCTACCAATCATCATCATCTTTCTCCCCCATCTTCTACCCCTCCCTTTTCCTCATCTTCATTGTGTTTGTTCAGGTTTGTTCACGGTGGAAAGCCTGAGTGGGAATAAAGTGTATATATTAAGGGGAGAGTTGGAAATAGGAAGAGAGAAGAAGAGGCACGAATAGAAAATCAATGTAAAGAATATTCCGTGATATGGCGTGTTACAAATCTAAATGGCCAAACACATCTTAAAAATGCTTCATTGCTAGGGTATTTGTATTCTTTTGTCAGTTTTTTCATATAGTATTTAGTGAAATACATTTTAAAATACAGTATACATCGTATAAGTAAGGGGAACAGCCTTAGAAATGAATAAGTAACAGCCTAGAAATGAAATGTATTTACTTATTAAGGATTCACTAGCTTCTATCTTCCGTTCCTTATAATTATTGTGGTTAAATTGCTACAAGTCATGGTTTTTCAAATAATATTTTGAAAATCATATTCTCCCACTGTCCTTTAACCAATTTCACCCAAATTAAAAACTTTGAAACTTTTTCATGACTTTGCTTGCTAAAACCTATACATTTTAGAACCCTTTTACTTACTATAGTCCAATTCATTATTCTGATTCTTTATGTTTTACTAGCTTAAGTTCTGTTTTAGTAATTCTTTCATGTATCAAAGCACATCTCACCTTTCAAGTCTACTCGGTTTGTAGTGAGGTCATGCTTTACTCAGTTTTTTGGCTAGTTTGACACACTGAAATATGAGGTCAGTGACTTGCCCAAGATCTTACTATGAGTCAATGATGGAGCATAAAATAGAGCATGGGCCCTTGCACAGGGTCTCTAATATTAGATTATATACTTGTGAAATCAATATCTGAAAACTTTAAACATACAATGTGAAGGATTTGCCTCATTCATGAAGCAGATTCTTCTCCCTAGATGATCACTGAGTTTTCATTAAAGTCAAATAGATTCTTTGAAGTCAATAAACTTCTTAATTTATGGAGAGATCAATCAGGAAAATAAGCCACATTATTGTGATATCATAATTTCCTGAGAACCCAGAACCTATGGAGTATTTCATGATGTTGAAAGCAAAATGGCTATTATCATTGTTATTATTTAAATAAAATAATGTCACATGGAAGTTAAAAGAATGCAGCCCAAGCCAGGAATCTCAGGTTGGAATATCATTTCTGCCTGAGTAATCACACCACTCCACTGCTCCATCACTCTGTCAGACTGAGTCTGATGGTAAAAATACAAATGTAAAACTCGTACATACTCAAAGATAAGACAAAAGTTTTGGACTTGATCTATAAATTTCTTCCAGCTATAAAACCCTGTGCCTGAGATTATAATATATATGATTATAAAATATACATATTGGGACACATGGGTGGCTCAATCAATTAAGCGTCCGACTTCGGCTCAGGTCATGATCTTTCGGTCTGTGAGTTCGAGCCCCACGTCGGGCTCTGTGCTGGCAGCTCGGAGCCTGGAGCCTGCTTCAGATTCTGCGTCTCCCTCTCTCTCTCTCTGCCCCTCCCCCACTTGCACTCTGTCTCTCTGTCTCTCAAAAATAAACAAACATTATAAAATGATAAAATAAAATCATTTTATTTTATAAAATGATAAAAATAAAATCAGGGGCACCTGGCTGGCTCAGTCAGA